ACAGGATTTTTGATAAGATTTAATATAGTTTTGCTGTGGTTTCAGCAATTACTAAGGAGGTTTCGCCCACAACCTTATTCTAGACCAGCCAGAAAATCCCTGTGGACTGATTTATAACTCATTTCAGCTGGTAAAAATACAATTGACTGAGTTATTCTATTGTTACTTCTTCCTGGACTTGGATAATCCATGGACTTCTGCATAATTTTCTAGAAAATTCTTTACTACTTCTGCAACATTTTTATCAATCAACATTTTGGTTTTTCATTGAGGCATTCTTTTAATATTACCATGAATTCTTGGCAGAAGACCACTGTTTATCAAATGATTTCTAACATTTTCAAAATAAGTTTTACCAATTCCTAACATATTGAGATAAGATTTTTGACAAGAAGTGTATTGTGATCTCAGCAATAGAAAGTTCTTTTATTAGACCTGGTTTTCTTTTTAAGGCATCTGCTAGCACTTGTTGATCCACCATCCATTGTCTTAAGCTGGACCATTAAAAATATGTCTTGTCCTGATTTAGAAAGAGCTTGAAATTCCCTTAACTCTGCAAATTCTTCCTTGGGAATTCTTGAAGAGCAACCACAATCACAAACTTTTCTAAAAAATCAATTGCTTTTCAATATTCATTAGAACCATTATATTTATTATTATTTTTCATATACACTTATCCCTATATATATAATTCTATAATTTTTTGTTCACTTTGTAGGGTTTTTCTACTACAGTAAATAGATTTAGTAATATATATGAACACAGCAGTTATAATATTTTAAAACAAATTCTTATTGTTCATACATTTTATTAAAGTAAGTCTTAATAAAGTACAACAATATAATAATTGTTACAAGATCATTTGTAATTATTAAAGTAATGATTGATTAAATGATTATCATGATCATAGAAAATTTTACCAAGTTGTTGTACACCACTATGCCATTTAATTTCCATATTCAAAAATTGTGGATATTCTGCCTCTCCATTATGTTAAAATCTATGAATTTTATAACCCATTTTCCATTTGAATCTAATATTGTCAAAATGTAGATCCCCATGAACAAAATCATTATCATGCTCTCATTTAACCCATGCCATATATCAGTCATAATGTTGAATCCATCAAGATATTCCATAATAATAAATTTGTAGTCAGTGTTTTCAATGTTGTCAAATTTTATCAATTCTGGTGCAAACCCTTGGTTAAAGCAGAAATTATATTGTATGAAGTGGCAAATTTCAAAATATGCTTTCTCCCTCCTGGTTCCCTTATCAAAAAAACAAGCTTCTTGTTTTCACTGTCAATACGATTTATATATTCAATATTCACAAATTTTCCAGAAATTGTTTTATATTTTCTTAGAAAAGGAAAGCATTTTTGTCTTATTACTTCTTTACTCACTTGGGATTTTGGAATTTGACTATAATATTCATCCAAATGGTTATTAGCTTTTCACAATGCACAGAAAACTCTTGTTATCTGATCTGTTTCCATGTCTCAAAATCAGTGATCCTTCTACAAGTGGGTCAATGGTGACTTTTTGTCCCATAACTGCACCTGCAATGCCAAAATAAGATCCATAAATATAAACAAGGAAAGTTGGTATACAAGTTTGCTGAAGAATATATGAATTTTTGTCATGTAACTCTAGAATAGTATGTAAATGCTTGCATATAAGGATCAGCTGGTGAAAATTCATTTTTGAATTCAAAGATGGTTAATATTAATAAAATAGTTTTTCCATTTGATTTACTGGATAATTTTTCATGTTGTACACTAATACTAACAGATTTATTTCGATATAATGGAAAATGAGGATTATTACCATTTTTAATATTTAAAAAAAATAACATATATATACTATAGTTGGCTCAGTCTAAAGACCTCCTAAGTTTTGCATAATTTTTAAAAGTATAGAAGTCACTTTCTGTCCTATCTTTTAAAAAAATAACATTATTAGTTGATAGAATAGGTCTTTAG